TTCACTGAACCTTTTATTATCTCACCCTTTTGTGATGTAAAATTTCTATAATATTTAATAAATAAAAAAAGTTATATTGGAGTAAAATGTGCGTACATTTTTTTCCATTTCAAAGAATTGAACATCTGTAACTGTATATAAAAAGCATAGAAATATAAGCAGTGTATGCTTTGCATATGTTCACTGTACACATTTGAAATATTTGTTGTAGATACAATGGTTGGATTATCTGAGCAGAGTAAGAGTTTATAAGAATGGCACATTTCCTATGAACTTCAATGGAGGATTTGCTATATAGTATGAAGATTAAACCCTTAATCTGCTGTGATTATCCAGCCCAGTATGTTTATGTTCTAATGTGCACTTAGAGACCATATCCTGACTGCTATGCATGTAGAGCTCATTTACAGACTGGGCATTTATACTGACTACAATGCATTTGGGGTTAATATACATGTATTTCACCCAAGGTTCATATACTGTCTGTATGGCAACCAGATTTCATACAATATCTATACTGCATCTAGGGCTCATATACTCTATAGCTTTTAACCAGGGCTCATATACTGCCTAAACGGGGCTCAGGGCTTATATACAGCATGCATTTCACCCTCTGCTCATATACTGTTAGTATTGTAAATAGAGCATATACACAGTCCATATCTGACTGCTGTGACTCATTTCTCAAACTGTGGTATTTACAAAGACCTTCTGGGTCGAAACGTTGATCCCCTTTACTATGTATAAATTTTGATTGAAAATACCCTCTGGAGTGCTCTCTTCATCATTTTCTATATCTATTTACGCTGTTCAGCACCGAGGTCATTACAGAAGCTGATTTAAAGGTAGAGTGCCAGATTTCTGTATATATTTATATATATATATATATATTAACTGATTAAAACATTTTACTCTGAAATTGGCAAATAACTCAATTTAAACAGTGAATCAAATGTTCTACAAAATTATAGAATTCTTGGACTTTTTCCATTTTCATTTTGTATATATGGTGTATTAGTTTTAGTTAGTAACAACATGTTAACTTATATCGCAGAGTGTTAAGATTCCAGTAGTTTTTTTTCGATCTTGGGGGCCATGCAACACAAAGACTGCAAGAATACAACCCACATTTACACGCTACTATTCTACAATAATTCACCTCCACATCCATGCAAACTACTTGTAAATACACTCCAATTTTCCACACACTGTCATGCTCTAAAATACACCCAGCATTCACACATGTAGCCACATTACACAAAAACACCCCTACAGTACACACACTGACACACTACATAAATACAAACTCACATTCACACTCTTGCATGCTAATATATATAGTTTGGGGTCAGTGCAATTAAATGTGTGATGTAAATGCCTGAGCCTATGTTTAGTCCCAGTGACCCTTACACTGTCAGGTGAACAGCTAGGTAATGTTTTAGATTTTAGCTGCATAGATTTTCAATATTTCTTTCACTCAGGAAGAGGTTGGTTGATGATTATAACTGTTAAGACAAGCTAGAGAGCAGCCACAGGTATAACCATGGCCAACAATGAATCTCTCTTATGCCCTATTGAGAAATGAAACCAAAGCAAAATGATGTGTCTGTGGAATGTAAAATAACACATTCTATTTGGGGATAAACTGAAAGGGGACTAATTTAATCAGCTGTTTCTAAAATTACAATTAACAGAAACAGACAGAAATAAACCTTGATGGGGAAAGATGTAAAGTAAATGTGTGTGTGTGTACATTATATATAGTTGCTTGTTACACTTCTATGTAATAATGTATCAATGCATATATATATATATATATACACATGGCTACATTATTTACACACACACACACACTGCTACATTATTTCACACACATACATTGCTACATTATCACACACACACACACACACATTGCTACATTATTACACACACATTGCTACATTATTACACACACACACATTGCTATATTATTACACAGAACTGTAACAAGCAGCAATTGTATTTTATTAAGTATTTCAATTATGACTGTAAAATAGTCTTTCACTATGGGAACAAAAAACATATTAAGGGTTTTATTAACACTAATCAATATTCAAATGTATAACAAAAGAATAGCAATTGGAAATAAGCAAAGACTGTACAATATCAGTGTCCAATCAGAAGGAGCCATCCAGTACCCAATTAGGGGGCAGCTTACATTTAGAACTTTGCAAACTGGGTATCAGTGCTTGGAGTGACCAGCTCTCTCTCAGCGTTCTATGCTATGTGTGTGCGTAGTGTGTGGCAGATAGCTCTGATTTACGGCTCTGCCGTAAAAGGGCTTTTTCTAGCAGCATCAGCAACAAGTCAGGTAAGTGTGCTGCTGGTCCTGCTGTGATTACGGATGCTGGGAGGGGGGGTAATGGTAAACACGTCAATGCATTAATCTATAACCGTAAATCTGATGCATGCAACAAAGATGCTTGATCACAGCTGGCACAGAAACCTGTCTCTTACCTTTTAACCCTATATGTGTATACAGCCAAGAGCAAGAGAGACAGCCATGACAGTTCTTCTTTGAAAGATGGGTGATTTACGTGCATGGAAGCAGCTGATCACAAGCTGCTGTTGCCATGCTTGGATTTGTTGAGCATCTCTGCACAGTGATCGCAGAGAATACTGATTTATATACATACTAGCACCCTGGTGTTACATGATACATCGATTTTCATCCTATTGCATGAATGTGTAGTGTGGGAAGGAATGAGTGAGTGTGTGGGGTAAGTCACATCGGTCTGTTTAGACTGTATACATGGACATTATATAGTGATGGTGAAGATGTAGTGTTTGTGTATATAGAGAGGCAGAGACAGACAGAAACACACACTCACACTCTCTCTCTCTCTCTCTCTCTCTCTCTCTCTCATATAGTTACACGTTGTAGATTTCTAAGCTTCCTAAATCACTGCTTGTTTACAGATTTTTCAGTTCATTCAGAATGTTGTTGACATTCCTAAAAATGCAAAAAATAAATAAATCTTACATTCAGCCAGCTGGAGACATAATGTTTATTCTCTAAATAGCCAAATTGCAACAAAAATATTAACTCTCTTCAGACCACTAGTAAAATAACCTGTTTGTGTGTTAACTGTTTTCCAAGTAGTCCTAAAGGGTTACTGCAAGCACCATGACCACTTTAGTATGCTTATGGCATACAAATATTTTCATGGTTTTTGAACTTGCTAATTATGAAATCGCAATATGATGGGTTGGGCATTGGTTGCCAGAGAACCCCTCTTCACCCCCACCCCTTGAAAAATTGCCCAACTAAATCAAACCTTAAATGGACAGTATAAGCATCAAAACAAGTTTAGCTTAAGTAAGTGAGTAAGTGATTTTGGTGTAAAGAGTATGTCCCTGAAGTCTCACTGCTCAATTCTCTGTCATTTAGTAGTTAAAGGGACACTATAGTCACCAGAACAACTACAGCCTAATGTCTGAAAAGGCAGTGTTTACATTGCCCCTAGGGACACCTCCAAGTGGCCACTGCTCAGATGGCCACTGGAGAGGCTTCCTGGTTCAGGGCTGCACAGTAAACAGTCCTTCCCTTCAGCCCTCTGCATAGCCTACCATTCTGCGTCCCCACGCTTTGCATGGAGACGCTGAATTTTCCTCATAGAGATGCATTAATTCAATGCATCTCTATGAGGAGATGCTGATTGGCCAACAGTGTTTGGCCCCGCCTCCTTGCAATGCTACCCTATGGGAAAGCATTGGATTGGCTAACAATCAGCAACTTTGATGATGTCACCAAACGGGTGGGGCCAGCACCGGTGGACCTGTGGAGAGCTAAAAATAAGGTGAGTTTTAACCCATTCTGATGGGGCTAAGGGGGGGAGGGCAAGCCACCTAAATGTTGGGTTTTCACTCATGTATTCCTGACCCTATAGTGATCATTTAAATTACATTGTTTATGCAGCCCTAGCCACACCTCCCTGACTGGATTTACACAATTCCTGTTAGGAGAGATCTAATGTTTAAACTTCTTTTATTGCACAGTCTGTTTAATTTAGAACTTCATGTTTCCTGCTCTGTTAATAGTATGTATGCTAGAACCTGTAGGAGCCTTCTGTGTGTGATTAAAGTTAAAGGGACACTATAGTCACCAGAACAACTACAGCTTATTGTATTTGTTCTGGTGAGTATAATCATTCCCTTCAGGCTTTTTGCAGAAAAAATGCAGTATTTACATTACAGCCTAGGGATACCTCCACTGGCCATTCCTTATTTGGCTGCTAGAGGTGCTTCCTGGTGCACACTGTGCAGCATGGCCATTCAGTATCTCCACCCTCTGCATGATTCAATGCATCTGTATGAGTAGATGCCGATTGACTGACAAGCTTAGCCAATCCAGTGCTTTCCTATGTGATGATGGATGATGCATAAGCAGGCAGATCAGGAGCATGGCCAGCACCAGCAGACTGGAATCAAAGTACACTTTTGCCATGTTTAGAGGGACCAGGGGGACTAGATGGTGTTTTCAAAACTATAGGAATACATGTTTGTTTGTGTTCCTTTAAAATTACTGAGCAGGAGATACAATATAAAGTAAACACACTGTGCTGTACAATCTGGTTGAAAATGAAACCAGTTTTTTTCATGTAGGGCTGCATGAACAGAAACAAAAGTGATTTAACTCCTAAATGGTAGAGAATTGAGCAGTGAGATTGCAGGGATATGACCTATATACTAAAGCCGCTTCACCAACAAAAACAAAAAAAGTTGTTTTGGTGCTCAGAGTTTTTTTTTTAAGCGGTGATCTGTGACATTCTAGAACACTCCAAGACGGTTTAATTCAACAGAATTGCATAGTATGCCTTACAGAAAATCCAAACAGTCCTAACCAAAAGGATCTGATTATTAACAAACCACCACTGTGGGAGACATTTTGGATCAATCTAGAGATTGTGGGTTACAGTACCATATAAAGTGGATGTTACTAAATATGTTTTAATATTTTGCAGGATATTAAAGGGGATGCAACAGAAAACCTGTGAAGGAAACAAGTCCTCATGGCAGGACTCCGCAAGGAATGGCAATGTGTATAAGCCTTTTCGATGCCCTCAATGTGGAGAGAATATACGTTTTAGAACCCTTTCATCCCTAAGGGCTCATCTTGATTATATGCACAGCTATGAGGAAAGGTATTTTTTGGGAAAATCCAGTATTATCTGTTCCTTGAAAGAGTCAGAACCAAAATCATCTCTTGAGCCGCTCAACGAAATACAAATTGGTTCTAGTAACAATGGCTTGAAGCAAAAGACATCAATTTCTGCTTTTTGTGATCTTACGAATGAGAACAAGAAAATCAGTAGTCCTATAGAAACACTATCTGAACAGACACTTATTAAAAGTCTTTTTTCTGATGACTCTGCAAATATTCACAATCCTGTATCTGGATACCCTTCGACCAGGACTAAACTTCATTTAGAACCTCAAGCGAAAGTCATGTTCAACCAAATTGCAGATGCTGTAGATAAAACCATAGAAAAGAAAATTGACAAACTTAATAAAGAACTTTGCCAAAAAACGTCAGAGCTCCTTGAAGTACGTGCTGCGTTTTTACAGCTTTCACAAAAAAAACAAGAAGTTCAGCGCCGGGAAAGGGCCCTAAGTCGACAGGTGGATGTTGCTGTGGAGTTGATTGCAATTCTTAGACAACGGTTAACTGAATCTGAACAAGAACTTCAAAGAAAAGAGGAGTAAGTATGAAATCACAGAAAAACTTGCTTTGAATCTAGGAGCCAGCTTAAAAAGTTGGGAGTCAGGTTTTTTAAACTTACAAAGTATTATTTTCCACGACAAAAATTCAATTCTTAAAGAGACACTATAGTCACCAGGACCACTACAGCTTAATGCAGTGCTTCTGTTGTCTATAGCCTGTCTCTGTAGGCTATTCAATGTAGACACTGACTTTTTAGAGAGGCGAGAAACTGGGGGAGAGTGGAGGCTGGCAGCTGGCTGGCTAGCCGGCAAGCTGGCTGCTTGTTCTGTATGCTGACGGCGATTGAGCAGTGATCTCCCTGCTCTGCTCCCTCGCTTGGCGCTTAGTAATGTAAGGGCCAGAGTGACATCATATTTCGGCTCCAGCATCACTAAGAGGCGCACAAAGGAGCAAAGCAGGGAGATCACCGCTCCTTCACCGTCAGCATATAGAATGCGCAACCTGCCGCCCACTTCGGAGGCAGAGAGCGGGCTCACAAATCCCTGGTCGCCATGGCAACCTGGTGCCTGGGATTTAGTATAGTTCCCACCCCTTTGCATGTGGAAATAAACTGTTAACGCCATAAAATATTATTTGTGCATCATCATGTAACACTGTACCTTGAATATGTTTGCATTTTGTTCTGCATCTTTTATATATATATATATATATGTGTGAACAGACAGGGGTGCACTCACAGGGCTTGAAAAAGGACGACAATCAAATTCTTAAGGTGCAAAAAGTCTTCATTATATCCGTGAATACATCAACGTTTCGACCCCTAAGGGTCTTTTTCAAGATCCATATAGTTTTTTGTTATATATATATATATATATATATATATATAAATTTAAATTTTTTTGTTGTTTTTTTTTTACTATTAATGGACACCGAGTGTCCGTTTAAGCTCTCAGTCTATCACTGTTGCTCCTTTGCTGCCCAAGCTAATGCTTCCATATGAGCTCGAGCATCAAAATAGAGACAGCTAACAGGTGCTTGGGGACACTACTTCTGTAATAAACCATTAACACTTTAAGGTAAGATGGTGCCACGGGATTCCAGGCATCTTAACCACTTAATTCATAGTGAAGTAATTATGGTATCCAAGGTGTTCCTTTAGTTTACATTTTATTCCAGACTCTGAACAATGCAAAGTTTGAGTTATGGTGATCTATGTGCTATATGAGAAGAAAAAAACTAAAAAAAAAAAAAAGCAATTTGGGCTTTATGATACTCTCCAGCTTAACACTTGGTTGTGCATTAGATTTCAAATGGAATACTGAATTGCATTTCAGCTGAAATAGAACATTGTGAATATGTAGTTTCAACTCGTATTTAATATCCCCTGACAATTCCTTTAAAATGTGAAATATATTTAAAGACAAATTGTACATTTCCAATATAATATATAAAAATAAATAGCTAAGTAACACAAACAGTGACATTTCATATTTCTATTCCTGAAAAGGCAGATCTAATTCATCACTTAGCATTAATACGGACAGGTACATTATTCTGAAATGAATCACTGTTTATGTGACTATTCTAACATATTTTAAAGTGCTTAAAATATAACACCGAGCATGATATATGCTATTTTTATTCTGAAACCATTTAAGTGGTGTATTGATTGCCACATGAGCAATGTTTAGCTCATGGGAAGAAGCAATAGAGAGAAACAATTTTTTGTGTATTATAAATCATCATGAAGTTGAATTACTGCATATTGAAGTGAGTGCATTTTTTTTTTTTTTTTGTGCAATGGATTTTAATGTAACTTTTAATTTAACTCACAAATATATCTTGCATATGTGTAAAAAAAGAAAAAAAAAGTATTGTAAAATATTTTTTGTAGAATTACCCTGCATTTGAAATGCACAGTGTGCACTTGTTGAAAGGGACATTCTAAGCACTATAACCACTACAGCTTATTTAGTGCTCAAAGAGTCTTTGGACATCTGTCCATCTCCTCATGTGCCACTCAGATATTGTGGAAGTGAATTTCTGCATTTTACATACAACCTTGAATGACAAGCATTTAGTACTTAAAGGAACACTATAGTCACCTAAATAACTTTAGCTAAATAAAGCAGTTTTAGTGTATAGATCATTCCCCTGCAATTTCACTGCTCAATTTACTGTCATTTAGGAGTTAAATCACTTTGTTTCTGTTTATGCAGCCCTAGCCACACCTCCCCTGGCTATGATTGACAGAGCCTGCATGAAAAAAAAAACTGGTTTCACTTTCCAACAGATGTAATTTACCTTAAATAATTGTATCTCAATCTCTAAATTGAACTTTAATCACATACAGGAGGCTCTTGCAGGGTCTAGCAAGCTATTAACATAGCAGGGGATAAGAAAATCTTAATTAAACAGAACTTGCAATAAAGAAAGCCTAAATAGGGCTCTCTTTACAGGAAGTGTTTATGGAAGACTGTGCAGGGAGGTGTGACTAGGGTTCATAAACAAAGGGATTTAACTCCTAAATGGCAGAGGATTGAGCAGTGAGGCTGCAGGGGCATGTTCTATACACTCTTCCAGCCAGTGTCCCTAGTGTCTCAATGTCCCCATGTCTCCTAGTGCCCCCATGTCTCAGTGTCCCCAAGTGTCTGTGTCCTCAGTCTCTGTGTCTCCAAGTGTCTCTGTGTCTCCAAGTGTCTCTGTGTCCCCAAGTGTCTCTGTGTCCACATGTCTCTCAGTGTCCACATGTCTCTCAGTGTCCCCTAGTATCCTAGTGACAAGGGAAACACTGAGACATGGGGGCACGGGGAGAAATGAGGACACTGAGACACTGGAAGACTAGGGGACTGGGCATCCAATTCTTTGGACAGACAAGCCCCCTTTTTGGGCATGCTCACCCCTTTTGGTAGTTCTGGTCACGTGATTCGCATCAGTAGCCCACCCTTTTACCCCGCCCATTGACTTCCTCCTTCACTGGACACTGCTGTTAGGGGGTATGGATTTTCTTGAAAGATGAAAGCAAAAATTAGAGAGAGATTAGCATAGAGTATGATTATTCCTATAGCTGCATCCTTTTGAGTTTCCCTCCAACACCATCTCCATCACATACATGACACTTGGGAGGGATGACTGTTTTAGTATTTTTGGTCGATAAGATTCTGTAATTAGGCCCCATCATAATTGTCAGCACCAGGCCCACTGGGCTCTTAATATGGCCCTGCCCTTATCCATTTGCTTAGCTCAGCGCAGACATACTGGCACTAGGGGTGGGTATGTGCCCATCCCTCTGCTTCCCATTGTGTGACTGCAGTGTCCCACAAGGTATTGGCTCTATTTTTACATGTTTTTCATGCCGTTTTGTAATACCTTGTACTGTATACATATACTTCCTATTTTTTATTAAACCAGTATTGTGTTATCCCCTCATTAAGTCTTGTCTAGTGTTTGGGTGCTAGACTGATCCAGTATCTTGTTGATGGTTGGGTGGTAACATCGAAAACGCTCAGACTGCTAGCTGAGTAGCCATAAGTAGCAGGTTGCTGTGGTAGGTCATAGAGGGCACTCATGGCATGGAGAAGGGACTGATGCAGTAGTTGGTTCATGCCTGGGTCCAGGCACCCCATAACTTTTACAGTGGGATTGAAGCTATTAAATGTGCTTTTGTGCCTTTCACCATCCTTATATACAGTAGGGAGCTGCCTGTTCTATGTTATTTACTCACTGTGTACTGTAGAATGACAGATGATATTGACTAGGCTGTTAGATGGGGAACTGGTAAAATGTAGATGGTCAGTAACCCTCTGTCATGCCAAAGCATGAGTTGGCATGTGATATGTTATGAATTGTTTTTGTATACATTGGGATAACAGTTATTGTAGGCTTTGATCTAACACCAGGCCTAACCATAAAATGTAACGACTAGATAACCATCACCAGAGCTGGACATATGGTGTCATAAAAGGTATTGGTGCATATGCTCTGACTTTGGGTTATTCAAAGGACAACAAAATTCAAAAAAATATGGAGTGGACAATAAACTGCCAGGCCAAACCCATCTGAGCCACCCAGGGATCTGGCCACTTGGAAACTAGTTTTGAGCTATATAATGAGAACGTTAGATTATCTAGAGAGAGATTTTCTTTTTCACAACTACTTGGAGAACTTTAACATCTGAATCTCCCACAAGAATTATATGCGGTAAATATATGTAAGGATTTCTTGTGTTTTCTCCTATTATATTTTATGGACTGTTTTGCAACTTGTTATCTGTGTTACTGTATGTCATTTATTCTGTATTTTTGTACACAGCACTGTGAATCCTTTTTTTTTTTGTCAGATTAGATGTTTACTTAATCAGCTTGTGTCTTTGTTCTCTATGAGCTCACTCTCCTGGGGAAAGCTCAGGTAAACACGTTACCAAAGGGTTCATTATATTTACTGTGTGTGGGATGTAAGGATATTTATGACATGATAAATATTTAACATGATATGTTCATAAAAATGATCAAAAATATTTAATTTTTATTATTTAAAAAATTTATATATTGGCACAGTACCCCTGATTAATGATTTAAAGCTGAGAATTACCCACTATTTTTCATTCTCATAGATCCTGGAGTACGTTTCATTAGAGAATTTTTATTTCACACATTAATCACAAGCTAATTGTTAAAATAATTTATTGTGATAATATTAATATGTAACATGCAAGACAATAATCAGTGAACATTTAGGTAAAGCATAAGTATACAATATGGCAGTGATTTAACACAAATTATAGACAGCTAAATAGCAACAGTTATATCGACATGTATGCAGTTTTCAACAAGATTTACGACAAGACACTTCACTTTGAAATCCACTTGCTAAACATTCTTTAACACAGAACATGGCATCTCACAGCAGCACAGCGTAAAGCAATAAAAACTTTGTCTGACCGTCAAATCACACTTAATTAACTCATTCCCTGCTGGCTGCAATTCTCATAGGCAAGATGTCCTTTTATATTGTAATGACAAATACAATATTTCTCATACTAGATCATTTGACCATTCCTATGTCCATCCAATAAGAATAATTCTAACCAGATTTTACGTTTGCAGAATTTTAACTTTCCTAATTAAGATTTACTATTTCTGAATTACGTAAGCTAATATATCTGGATAATTGCCTGGTATTCTATTTTAAAGTCTAAAGTGATATAGAGTTCATTGGTCCACCTGCAGGAATGGAATTACGAATTCTATATGTTAACGAATCATGACTCCTTAATGTTGGAATCACCAGCTTTTATCCAAGTATATTCTGCCTTTTAGTAAAATCAATTCATTTAAATTGATTTTATAAAACCAGTATAATTACCAGCTCTTTTGTAGAGTTTCTATCAGGCTTGAAGATATGTCCCAGGAATTGTGAATGTAAGTATGAGTATAGAGAATTGTGTGAAAATAGAAAAGTTGTCAGAGTTCTGAATTTTAAAGAATTTCAAAGTTAAGTGTTAGTTGGAAAAGATACAAAGAATTAGGTGTGTCCAGCTTTGGCTCCAGATGTCAGATCTTAGATGTTGGGTGTGAGTCCATCCTCAGAGTGTGAGTGTCCCTCTCTTTCCTTCGTCCTTAATTTTTAAAGGAGAAGTGTTCTATATACATCACTAGTTGATAGTGACCAATAGAGTAAGGTGGGCGTATCTTCCCTACAGACTATCATCTAGATTTTGGACAGTAGATGGCGCAATTACATCACAGAAAATTCTTGTCAGGGGGGCCATTTACCTTTTAGTATAAAGGGTTAACTGAATTTCGTAATGCGTTTGACGTCATCTTGGTTATCTTTATGATATCAATTTGTCAATGACCTGTCAATCTTCAAAGCGTTTTCTTTGGTTTTTTACTAGACAGACCGTCTACTTTTGTGTACAATGAAACTTTTTGTAAGATTCCGTAAAATTCATTACTTAGTGTTATCTGTCATTGGTAATCCTGTGTCTGGTTTTCTTGTGTGAAACTGTGTGTAGCACATAGTAATATTACACATATTCCACTAATGTTAGTAAATAATATGACATTTCTTCATTGATATCATATCCATGAATATTCTATATTATTAATTTAGTACTATTTATATATGATTTATTATACTTATAGTTAGTTATATGTGGATAGTGTGTGTGTATATATATTTGTCTCTTGGTTGTTGCGTTCAACCCCCCCTTGCTGCAGACATCATGTCTTATCTCTGCCAATGTTTACATTAGTCTCATTTGTAGCTCAGGCTTGAGTGAACAGAATACAGAGAAAAATATTGTGTCTGTCTTTACACTGGCTCTGAAAAAAAGGAATTGGTATGAATGGAGGGGTTAGAGTGGCGATTTATAATTGGAAGGGCGGGGAGGTAGTAATACAATTGGAGTTGGTGGTAGTAATATGATTGGAAGGAGTAGGGGGGTAGTAATATGATTGGAATGGGTAGGTGGGTAGTAATATGATTGGAAGGAGTAGGAGGGTAGTAATATGATTGGAATGGGTAGGTGGTTAATAATATGATTGGAAGGAGTAGGGGGGTAGTAATATGATTGGAAGGAGTAGGGGGGTAGTAATATGATTGGAATGGGTAGGGGGGTAGTAATATGATTGGAAGGGGTGGGGGGTTGGTAATATGAATGAAAGGAGTAGGGGGGTTAGTAATATGAATGGAAGGGATGGGGGGAGTAATATGATTGGAAGGGGCAGGGGTAGTAATATTAATGAAAGGGGTAGGGGAGGGTTAGTAATATGAATGGAAGGGGTGGGGGGAGTAATATGGTTGGAAGGGGTAGAGGGGGAGCAATATGAATGGAAAGGGTAGGGGGGGGATGCTATGAATGGAAGGGATACGTAAATAAATTATATACCCCACTGGACCACCAAGCATTAAAAACACTTGGACAACCTTAGATTTAGAATTTCTGCTGGATCACCTGGGCTCCTAGCTGCCTCCTTGCAAAAAAAAGGAAAGCAGGAGGAGAGCGCAAAAAACATTTTTTTACATTTATTTCAGAAATGCTAAATGAAATGGAAAGGCTGGAGTTGCAACATAAAAACAAAGCCACTTCAACAATATCTCACACAGACCACACATCCATCACACACATACATAATACTCTTAATAATCTCACACACAGCACATCAGCCACCACACACCCACATACATATTACACGCAGCACACCTGGCCACCACACACCCACATATATATTACACTCAGGAATCACACATAGCTATCACAAACAGCACACTCAGCCACCACACACCCACATACATATTACACTCAAGAATCACACACAGCTATCACAAACAGCACACTCAGCCATCACATACCCACATACATATTACAGTCTGGAATCATACACAGCTATCACAAACAGCACACTTGGCCACCACACACCCACATATATATTACACTCAGGAATCACACATAGCTATCACAAACAGCACACTCAGCCACCACACACCCACATACATATTACACTCAGGAATCACACACAGCTATCACAAACAGCACACTCAGCCACCACACACCCACATACATATTACACTCAGGAATCACACATAGCTATCACAAACAGCACACTCAGCCATCACACACCCACATACATATTACACTCAGGAATCATACACAGCTATCACAAACCGCACACTCAGCCACCAGAAACCCACATACATATTTCACTCAGAAATTACACGCAGCACACTTGGCCCCAACATACCCACATACATGCTACACTCAGGAATCACACACAGCTATCACAAACAGCAGACTCAGCCACCACACACCCACATTCATACTACACTCAGGAATCACACACAACGCATTCAGCCACCACACACCCACATACATATTACACTCAGGAATCACAAACAGCAAACTCAGCCACCACACACCCACATACATATTACACTGAGGAATCACAAACGGCACACTCAGCCACCGCACACCCACATACATATTACACTCAGGAATCACACACAGCAAACTCAGCCACCACACACCCACATACATATTACACTTTTGGCCAGTCTCAAGTATAAATTTGAGGAAATGCACTTTGAAAGTAAGTATCCCTGAATGGCAGTTAGGAAATGTGGTCACCCTAGGGTGTTGGTGTAGAAGGCATTGCAGGGGTTAATTTAGTGGTTGCTGGGACTAGTAATGGGTAGCCAGTGATCTGGTGTCATTAGCCCCTTCACTTCCACACTCTCCACACTGTCTCGGCTGGGCCAATAGCCTAAGTTTGTGACACCTTGGCATTTAGTATAACAAATACATATATACCACCACAGAATACATATGCAGTGACACTCACACATAACAGATACAGTCACACACATGCTTTTTAACAAACACTCTAGATACATTAGGAATCTGATAGTGGAGAGTTCTGCAAAGAATGTTTTGACTGGGAGAAGTGATACGAGAACTCTTATGTCGACTGGACTGGGTGGCCTCCAGCACTATATTTATTATAGGTCAAAGGATTCTTTAGCAAGAACATTTAGTTCTGCAGTCACCCCACAGATAAGATAGTTCTGTATACATTTTCTTATTTTTTATTTTTCAAATTTGTTATAGAGAAGTTGTTACAATCAACCATTTTCTGGAAGCAGCGGCCGAAAAAGAATTCCGCGGCAAAAGACGGCTTCAACAGTTTATTGAGAACTTGCTTCAAAGAGTTGAACTTGCAGAAAAACAACTGGAATATTATCAGAATCGGCAGATTAAAAATACTCAAGCATGTGTTGGCGATGCTATGGTAAGGTTTGTGTTTTTGTTTTTTTCCTTAAGTAATTTATGATATATTTAAAATTAAATAAGCCTGTAAAGAAGTACAAGCTTTGTGTAAGAAGTTATGTTCAGAAATCACAGACCTGCAAGCTCTAATAAGATTAGAGTAAAATAGATGATATGATCCTATTTGTTAATTGGTTACATACATGTTACAGGCACTATTTCACAAGAGAAAACACTCCCTCTGCTTGTTTGGCTTCTAAGCCAACTAATCCGAGCTCTTTGACAGCATCTTCAAAGTGTGAGATTGCCCTTGTAAACTATTTCAGCAACAGTTTTGTTCCCTTGTTATAAAACTGAACAATGAAGATTTCAAATGGTCAAATTTTAAATGGTACAAATTTTTATTTTTTTATTTTCGATTTATTGGGCCCTACCTCACAATTAATAGAAGAATATTAAAACAGGTTTAATCAAACAAATCAAGAACTGTGACTTTTTTTAGATTGGGAAAAGTTTTTCAAAGAAACTATTATATGTCTTAATATCACTTTGGAAATCAGAAATAAAATTCTATTTAATCCAGAAATAGAATGTTAGTAAAAAAAAAGTGTTCCTATATTATGCAAACTACTACATTATTAAGATAATGACGGTGACGTTTGTACAGCAAAAAGGCATTCTCTTACCAAAAATGCAGTTTGTCATAATCTAATTACTCATGGCTAAATGATATAACCTGCCTGTGTTTAGAAAGGTTAATGAACGTTCCACATTTGTTTAAGTCTTAGGGCAGGAAGGCAGCAGTCCTGTCCCTACAGGTGCACTCCACAAAATGTAGTTAACCTGTCCAAATTTTGATATTTTGGTTTACAATTGGACAAAACTGCACAAGGAAGGGCAGGTGAAGTGTGTAGATCATTGTAAATCATTCTTCTCTCTATATCCACTCTGCCTGTCATAAATCCCAGAATTAAACACTGCCAACGATATTTAGCAATTCTTAAGCCCAGCGTGTTTTCAGGTATCACGCCATAAGGCTGTCTATTTTGCAATCCATTCATAACTTTCTAAATTGGGTCTCACCAATTATATATATGTTTTGTAACTTGTGATTACTAAAAGGACACCAAATGATTGTTCTCTAGTTAATCTGGTCTACAGCTCCCCAGAATCCTTAGGAATGTTTCCACTGTGGATGTATCAATTTGACAAGAGAATATTGACAAGATTTTCAGAGCACTTAAGTATTTTCTGGGTGTTGTGTGTGTGGCCTGTAACTCTATCTTGTGCTGGTATATCTCCACTACTAAGAAAAATAACACCAGCTTTTTTCGTGAATTTTTTTAATGGTTTTTTAGTTTACTTTCTGATGCCCCCATACTATACGTCTCCTAATATTGTGCTGTGTTTTATATATATAATTTTTATTGTAATTCTTACTTTTTTTTTTCTTGTTTTTAATTCAGGGTGGACAAATCATTGCTAACAGGAAAAGCAAGTGTCAGTATGTATCTTGTTTTTTGCATGGCGCTGTCACATATATATTGTTTTATTATTAACAATAATTTAATTCCGTGCTGCATTTATAGCAGTTGAATTCACAATTAAATACTCTGGAGTTGCCTTTTTATAACAGAATCTGTGGTGGAAGCACAAAATATAATTTATGCATTTATGTCATTTAAAATAATCAGTGCTGCAGCGATGCATATGGAAATTAAAAGAAAAATGAAAAGAACGTAACATATATTCCTCTAACACAATTGTCGTACCAACATAAGTGGCTCTGTAGCAATAACACCTATTGTAACCCAAAGGTGTAGCGCTGATTCGGAGTGTTAATCTGGTTAGTTATCGGGAAGTCATCTATGTGAGGGCAAAGTGTAATTTGGAGGATGTGTGGCGTTGGATTTGCATGGCTCGTCCCGTTGTGGCTGCTTATTGTCCAGTATTGCTTGTCCAGTATAAGCTAGACTTATGGTGTTGAGTGTAGTGCTCCATTGTCTAGTATGCCCTGGGGCACTAAGGGGGGGTTATATCATCGGTGCGCAGAACAACTGCCATAAGGGCTCGGTGTATATTAACCTATTCCAACAAGAGTAATTTTAAACTTACAGTATATACTCGAGTATAAGTCTAGTTTTTCAGCACATTTTTTGTGCTTAAAAACCCCCACTCGACTTATACTCGAGTCACTGTCTGTATTATGGCAACCTAGAGAGCCGCGGCCGTCAGAGCCATGGCAACGATCCGCGCGGCAACCAGACCGCGAGACTTACAGAGGAGCTGACCGGAATGGAGGAGAAGGGAGCTGACAGGAGCTGCAGGAAAGGTAAGTAAATGCTTCCTGCCGGCCCCCCCACTTCACAGCCCATGCCACTGGACCACCAGGGATTAAGATAGCCCCCCTCCCTGACCAGTTAACAAGCAGGGAGGGGGGGGACAAAAAAAATTAAAATAAAATAATATTAAGATTAAAAAAATTAAAATAATAAAATAATATTAAAATAAAAAAAAATTAAAATAATAAAAATGCCCTCCCCCCACCCAGTTCTCACACACTACACAAACACACACTCTGCATTATATACACAGAGTGTGTGTATATAATGCAGAGTGTGTGTTTGTATGAGTGTGTGTGTGTGTATATAATTATAAAAAATCACAGAATTTCATAGCCCCAAGTTTTACCCTCGACTTATCCACGAGGCATAGCATATTTCACAATTGTTGATCACAAAACTGCACTCGACTTATACATGAGATCGACTTATACACGAGTATATACGGTAAATAAAAAAGTGTGGGTAACTTGGCATAATAAAAAACCTAAACACTGTGGACTGCGTATTGCTCGCTTTGGTTCAGGTTGCAGAGCTTCTTCCCTCTCTGCATAAACTGATTATTTCTATGTTCAACCATGATCTTTTGTTTGTAGATTTTATTTTTCACCCACATTTATTCTTCTCTTAAATCTATTGTGCAAATCTATAGTTCTTTATCCTGTTTTTTTTGTTTTTTGTTTTTTTTTACCAAGGAATCGATGCAGTTACCATCCTGGAAATATTACACACGATGCCAGACCTCAGTCTGTTCAGAAAGGGCGGACATATGTCAACCGTGTGGGGATACAGCCTATGAAACTGCTCCACGAAGCTACTGATAATTCTAAAGATCTTTGGAAGGTGCAGAAGATAGGTGACCCAACTGTTGTTGGCAGAAAAGTGCTTCACAAAACCAAATTAGGAAAGAAACCGGGCATGTGTAATAATGTATATAAACAGTACTAAAATGTTCAATTTGTTTACATTTTTGTAATATAAAGCCGTAACAAACAGTGCTCTCCCAGATACGTATGAGTGTAATAATTTAAGCATTGTAATAGTGAAAATGTTGGCCGCTTTTCTTTTGGCAGTGTATATTATGAGAAAAAAAACAGAAAATCACTGCTAATGGTATGTACTTCATGTTGCTTATTTTTTCTTCACACATAATTATCATCAAAGTGCTGAAAAAGATAAATAATGCTATTTTAGATATACAGTATATATGTATAAAGTGAGCGAGAGATATAAAGTATAATATATTTATGCTATGGGAGGGTATAATCTATATTTTATTTTTATTTTTTTTCTGTGTACAGTTTATCTACTTATGTTGAGTAACTCACAAGGGGCAACTGTTTGTATCCATTGCACTTTAAGCTGTTTGTACATTTTTGCACGAGGATTATTACTGGTAAATGCCATCTTTATTTAATGCTTTTGTTACTTTAACTAATGATTGTTTTATTACAACCACAAGCTGCACAAATGGTGAATTTTGTTCCCTCTACTTTATTATGATCTCTTTAGACAGCTGTATTAGTTGTATATGACTACCTATGATTCCCAAAACAGAATGTTCAAACAGAATGTTCAGTGTTGTGAGTGATAAGTTTTGAAGGTATCATTGTGGAATCTCGGGACTGCAATACTAGATAACAAATTTAAAGGAACATTTGACTAAGCTCATATTTTACTATATATTTCAGGATCTGATGGCATGCTGTGTGTATGTATTGACCAGTAAGTGAAATTCCTGATTTGTACAGGGTCATGGATATTTTGATGACTCAGCTGCTTGGAAAACATATCATAAAATCCAAAACTATTTTAATTTGCCATGTCTTAACTTTATGGATATATAACAGTGCTAGACCTGGGCTTGTCTTAGTATAACGAATCCCTGTGGTTTTAAATATATATATATATATATATATATATATATATATATATAGATCTAATGCCATTCATTAGCCTGTTTTGCTTGTTAATATAGGTTTAAATTTAATTTAGAACTAAATTATGTTCTCCTACGTGTAAAAATAGTATTGCTCTGACTGTCCAGGATGCCAAAAATATGCACCTTAAATTAAGAAATACATACATAAGAGTTTTCTCCACATGTCACTCTTTTGGTGGTCTTCTAAGAGGTTCTGCTCCTTCTGCACTACCCATAGTATCATCCAGGATGTTAGTGCTGGGCTATCCCTGGACTCCCATTAATTTAAATGGAAACCTTTTTAAAAGGTTACTTCTTGCACTATGACCACATCAGTGATTTGAAGTAGTCATGGTGCCTGGAGTCTGTATGAGCAGCATTGGTATGAAGTGCTGCACATACAGATATTAACCACTCTGTTGCAAGAGGTGTAACTCTACCTCCAGCTGCACCATTAAGTGTCATTAGCCAGCTTGAATAAGAGTTCCGTGCTGGCTAATATAAATCCCGTGGAATATTTTACATCTGAGGACAGCACACACACAGTATGCCGGTGTTCTATCAGTTTGGTATACCCCGTCAGATTGCTATACCCACGTCACTTCCGGGGAGGGGAATCAGCTGTCTCCTGTGCTGCACATGCGTGCTAGCACTCCTGCTACTCCTCCACAGCAAGGTCCTGGAAGGTAAGTAAAATTAGTTTTACACTTTCATTATAGTTAGTGCATTCACTAAGCTTAGGACATGGGACATTTAGGGTTAATGTTAGGGTTCAAATTAGGGTTAGGATTAGGGACTTGTTCCTATTTAGTGATATTTCACTTTAGGGGAATATCACTAAATAGTGATTTCTCACACTTTATTTTAACCCTTACCCCAAGGGTTAGGGTAAGAATAGAGTGTGAGAGAGGTTAGAATCACTTACCTAACCCTAATTTGTACCCTCACTTAACCCTAAATGTCCTGTGTGCCTAAGCTTAGTGAATGCACTAACTATAATGAAAGTGTAAAACTAGTTTTACTTACCTTCCAGGACCTTGCTGTGGAGGAGTAGCAGGAGTGCTAGCACGCATGTGCAGCACAGGAGACAGCTGATTCCCCTCCCCGGAAGTGACGTGGGTATAGCAATCTGACGGAGTATACCAGACTGATAGAACACCGGCACCAGACAGACAATAGTGGTATGGTCCCCCCATTCTGAGTCATCCATGTCCTCTGCTCAGCCTGGCCAAATTCCTAGCTAGGGGGAGTGATGTCAGACGTGGTTGACTGGTCTGCAGGAAAAAAAAACTGGCCTCTGTGCTGGAACAGATGCTAAGGATTTGTTTGTTTTTTCAAGTTAGTGGGAGGGCTTAGAAAGGATTACTGTAACCAAAACCAGGGATTTCGTAAAACAATGTTTTTTTTCGGTTGGAGTAACTCTTGAAAGAGATCAGTCGTAGTCCTAACACTATAGTGCCCTTTGGTCTGCCTCTGGTGCATAAAAAAAATCCTTTATTTACTTTCTTTCCAGCACTGATGTACCTCGGCACTGGGTCGGCACTCTGCCTCCTCCAACATCATCTGACAGGGGGACCTAATATGCATGCGCTTTGAGTGCATTAGACCCTCCCTATAGTAGATCATTTCCTCAATGCTTTTCCCTATAGTAGATCATTTCCTCAATGCTTTTCCTATGGCAACTATAGGCCAGTAAGCCTTACTTCAGTAGTGGGGAAAGTGATGGAAACCATGTTAAAGGATAGGATTGATGAACATCTAAAAACACATGGATTTCAAGATCAGAGACAACATGGGTTTACTTCAGGGAGATCATGCCAAACTAATCTTATTGATTTTTTTGATTGGGTAACTAAAATTATAGATCAGGTGGTGCAGTAGACATTGCTTACCTAGATTTCAGTAAGGCTTTTGACACTGTTGCACATAGAAGGCTTATCAATAAACTGCAATCTTTAAGTTTGGATTCCAATATTGTTGAATGGGTAAGGCAGTGGCTGAGTGACAGGCAACAGAGGGTTGTAGTTAATGGAATATATTCAAGCTTGGACTTGTCACCAGTGGGGTACCTCAGGGATCTGTACTTGGACCCATTCTCTTTAATATTTTTATTAATGATATTGCAGAAGGTCTTGATGGTAAGGTATGTCTTTTTGCCGATGATACTAAGATATGTAACAGGGTTGATGTTCCAGGAGGGATAAGCCAAATGACAAATGATTTAGGTAAACTAGAAAATGGTCAGAATTGTGGCAACTGACATTTAATGTGGATAAGTGCAAGATAATGCATCTTGGACGTAAAAACTCAAGGGCAGAGTACAAAATATTTGATAGAGTCCTAACATCAACATATGAGGAAAGGGATTTAGGGGTGATTATTTCTGATGACTTAAAGGTAGGCAGACAATGTAATAGAGCAGCAGGAAATGCTAGCAGAATGCTTGGTTGTATAGGGAGAGGTATTGGCAGTAGAAAGAGGGAAGTGCTCATGCCATTGTACAGAACACTGGTGAGACCTCACTTGGAGTATTGTACACAGTACTGGAGACCGTATCTTCAGAAGGATATTGATACCTTAGAGAGGGTTCAGAGAAGGGCTACTAAACTGGTTCATGGATTGCGGGATAAAACTTACCAGGAAAGGTTAAAGGATCTTAACATGTATAGCTTGGAGGAAAGACGAGACGGGGGGATATGATAGAAACATTTAAATACATAAAGGGAATCAACACAGTAAAGGAGGAGACTATATTTAAAAGAAGAAAAACTACCACAACAAGAGGACAGTCTTAAATTAGAGGGACAAAAGGTTTAAAAATAATATCAGGAAGTATTACTTTACTGAGAGGGTAGTGGATGCATGGAATAGCCTTCCAGCTGAAGTGGTAGAGGTTAACACAGTAAAGGAGTTTAAGAATGCGTGGGATAGGCATAAGGCTATCCTAACTATAAGATAAGACTAGGGACTAATGAAAGTATTTAGAAAATTGGGTAGACTAGATGGGCCGAATGGTTCTTATCTGCCGTCACATTCTATGTTTCTATGTTTCTATGGGGATTTAACTGATGCTGGATGTCCTCATGAAGAGTGTGAGGATGTCTGGTAGACAGCCACTAAAGGCTATCTTAGTACTGAAATGTAAACATTGCAGTTTCTCAAAAAGTAGGACAGGAACACTGCACCCACACCACTTCAGCGAGATGAAGTGGTCTTGGTGCTTATAGTGTCCCTATAAGCATGAACGCCACACTCTAACTAAACATTTGTATCCATATATTGCCACTCATATATGTGCAATACAGGTGCACACAATATTTAATTCAGTCTAAATACTGTACTAAAAACGTATTAGGTGCAAGTTTTATTTATATTCTTTCTCTCAATTAGTGAAATGTGTTTCATAGCTGAATTGTGCAAACCGCAATACAGGGATTTCTTTGCTGAGTTTGGAGTTGTCAATGTCACTCACTTCTCCACAGTAACCAGTTATTAGAAGAATAAAGCTAAGTCACAAGGTTTTGTTTTCGTTTTGTTTATATTTGTGCCAAATCCTGGGTAACTTTGACTATCTTTGTTAAAGGGGCTCTCTTGATGCCATAACCACTACCATTTTTAGAATTGCATTTATAGTATGACAACACAAAATGTGTTTTGTGTTGCTATAGCTACTCTATTGGGTAATATAGAAACGTTGGTGAAATCTTACAAATGCCTTTTTGCCTATATGATGTGTTAGCGGTTTGCAGCCACTAACATGTCTTTCAAATTAACACCAAGCTGAAGCAAGTGGAGTGATAAATATGACCTATGGTACTTTGTACCATCTAACTGGGAAACCTGGTGCTTCTCATCTCATGTTAATCTCTGTCTGAGATGTTAGGCCAACATCTAATTGCTATTTGCTTACAGTGAAATTTTGTAGCCTAGCAACAGCCGCAGTCTCTAACATTACTGACAGCTGTTTTAACCACTAACAGCTTGTCGCTTGTCACTAACTGGCTACAACAGGCATAGAAACAAGATGTGATTCAGTTCAGCATACTCCAGAGAATAATATTGAGAAAATATTCAGATCAGAACAACTCTGTATATACACAGAGAGTGCAAGGGACGATTCTTTCTTATCACTTCCTCCTTCCCCTTTAATGTCATCTGACCTCACCTTTCTTGGACTGGCTTATTGGCCACATGCACTGTGTCGCTACAGTGAGGGTAGAACATTACTTTCTCTGGCTTCTATGTACACAAACTCAAGGAACTTGGCTGTTTGCTTAACCCTTTTTTTTTACCCAGTAAAGGAAGTAAGTGCCATGATGTTCACCCTTAGCTCTATCTCCACTTTCTCTGTTCAATTTCAGGAACTACAGGGTGTGCTTAATATAAATGATACATAATTTAAAAGTGAAGTGTAATATGGAAAAACAATAGACGTTAGAGGTTCTGGAGACATTCTACACCACAATACTGAAGGATGAACCTCTAAATTGATTATTTTACCATAATACATGCTCCAATGTTCTGTATCTTTTATACTTCATGATGGTTTTAAACAGTAGGGTTAGTAATAGTGTTTAGGGCAGGGTTAGGTAACCTTCGACTCCCCAGATGTTGAGGACTACACTTTCCATGATGCTTTGCCAGCATTATTGCCATAAGAGCATTGGAGATGTAGTCCAAAACAATTAGAGTGATGAAGGTTGACTACCTCTTGTTAAGGGTTTTATTAGACTTAGGGAAGGATACATGTAACAGCATTTCTAAGCTTGATTGGAGTTACATTCTTGGGCAGCAGATAATATAGTCCAGTGCTGTCCTAAATTTGATGAATCACATGTGGCACAGTGTCTAGCATGGCATAAATGAAAACATGGCATTTCTATTGAAGTTTAGCAGACATGTTAATGGTCCTTTTAACATCTATTTTATACTGGTAAGATTGTCACAATTTCTTTCTGTGATCTAACAAAATAGCACAACATTCTTATGGACAATAAAAGATTGCACCAGTAGAATATTTGCATTTTAAACTCTTTTTAAGTCCAACTTTTTTTTATATACATTAACTTCATGAGACATTCTTCATTCGTGAATTTAGCTTTGTAAGTACTTCATAATTGTGAACTGTAAATTAGCTGCTTGACCCAATTTTAGTTGTAATTTAACACTTACTAAAATAAATCTTATATCACGCCTATTAGAGCAAAGCAATGAGATATGTGTTTATTTTACTGAGAAGAGAATTGTAAGAGCAAACAATTTCTTTGGTTTTTTTTAGGCGGTTGGTTGGAGTTTAACAAACATGATGTGTTTGTTCCAGTCAAAGGGAAAGCACACAAATTAGACATGGTTTTTGGTTGAAGTTGATAGTTGATATGCAGGGAAACGTGTTAAACTGGTAATAGTGAGAAATTCAAGAGTGAAGTTACTTTTTAGGACAAAATAGTCAAATTGGAATAATTGTCCAATTCAGCTCCAAGTTTAGCTTAAAATTCTTTGGTGAATTACCTGCAGTTCCTTCCCACTTTGCAATTTTTCCAATTCTAGGTACTTTTTCCAGTTTCTAACTTTAGGCTTAAATTCCTTTTTTTCCGATCTCAATTCCCAATAATTTTGACAGTGTGTCTACATGATGTACCATTGTCATAAAACAAGTGAATGACTTGCACTCGCCTGTAAATATCTTGAACATCTGAAACATTCTTCATAAAGTTCTGAAGTTAGTTTTTCTGCAAGTCATTTTTATTTTTGCAGTGCTAATTTTTTTTTTTATAGTAAGCCCCTTGTATAGCTCCTTAGAAATTGAGCAGACCTGCTAGACTAATAACATACCTGGTAAGGGAGCACTGTAATGTGAAATAATTCTTTTATTTTTATACGTTCCTATTCCTTTAAAAACATGCAGTAGACAGAGAATGGGTAAATTTATCCAGACGCATTATAACAATACCTTAGAACATTTTAAGTATAAAATTAGTGTTTACCAATATAGTAAATATTGCCAAGGGCATGAAAAGGGGCACAAGAATAGATTAGGAAAAGGTGGCATTCAGCTAAGGATGTGATTCTTATCTTTCACATTTAGTGCATTTCCTTGTTTGTTAAAAAAAAAAAAAAATGACATATTTTGGAAACTTAAGTAGCATTTTAGGGATCATGCAAACAAGCTTTGATCATTTGTTGCAGTCTAATTATTTCTAGATAATAATTAATATAATCATTGTTCAGTGTTAATATATTTAAAAGATAAAAAAAAAAAAATTATTGTGTGGAGGCGTATCATGAGAATGAACTCATATTTTTTCTTTGCTATATCTGTTCATGAATTTTATATTATTAACACTGGATTTTCCAGCTTCCTTCCTTTAGCGTTCTTTTGAAACAGTCATATCATTCCAATTAAAGATGTTCGCTGCAAACTGACAGTCTGAAATGAGTCTGTCATGTTTATCCCATAGATACATGGTACCATTGTTGCTTTGAGTGACTTTAATTATAGTAACATTATTTTTGAGGCATATGTGACATTTATTTACTGCCAATTGTGACTGATTATGTATAGAATGCTCCATTACTGCCTCCTTCCTTCTTGTAGCATGTTTTTTAATAGGATTTTACAAAAATGATTTAATATTTATATTCATAAAAACAGAATTTTTTAACATTTTTTTTTTTCTTTCAGTTTTACACTATCTCTCAGACTGTCATCCCTTTCCTCTAAATCAGGACATTGGTAGATTATTTGAACCAGTTATGTTCTTTTATATGGGAGAATAAAGTAGCATGCACACTTTCATAGTACAGCACATTCACCGCTATTCCTCATGTAATTCAAGGAGAGCAAAAAGTGCATTTCTTTTTTGGCAAACATAAATATGTCATTGTGAAAAATTGTTAGAATATAATTTAAAACACCTGTTAGATGCATGCCTGCGATTTCAGCCACCTTAAAGGACCACTATAGGCACCCAGACCACTTCAGCTCAATGAAGTGGTCTAGGTGTCAGGTCCCCCTGGTTTTAACCCTGCAGCTGTAAATATAGCAGTTTCAGAGAAACTGCTATGTTTACACTTGGGTTAATCCAGCCTCTAGTGGCTGTCTCACTGACAGCCGCTAGAGGCGCCTCCGCGATTCTCACTGTGAAAATCACAGTGAAAAGATGCTGGACGTCCATAGGAAAGCATTGAGTAATGCTTTCCTATGGACTGTCTGAATGCGCATGCGGTGCTTACAAACTTTAACATGTTACTTCTCTTAAGAGGGACTTGGTCATGGATAAGGATAATGACACTCTTTTCTTCGATTAGTTAAAAATGGAATGGCACTGTTAGATGTTTAGAATACAGTATTGACATACCTCCACCATATTTGGATATTTGGTAATCTGGGCAATTTACACAGTGCTTTGGGACATATTCCATTGTTAGATGCACATGAGACTGCTGTCATGCTCGCTGTGTTTTTTCACCAGAAGAGCTATGATAATATTAAATTACAAGTTTATGCGGATCTTTTCTGCAAATCTTTTCTGGCATAGAACAAAATAATATTACGAATGGCAGAGTCACTTTAAACATTATTTACGCTTATTGCTAATTTCCTTAGGTTGCTACCTTGCTGCTAGTTGTGCAGATATAATTGGCACACAAAAAAACAAAGAAGGATTGCTAATCAGTGAAACGAATGGTTATATAATGTGCACTTTTGCGGGTATGCACTGAATTCCAGAATGACAGTAATCTTCTTGGCGACATTTGGTACATTTCTTAATGTAGGTTTCATGTTTAGTTACTGCTGCATCAAATAAATTATTATAATATTATTATTTATAAAGAGCTAACCGATTCTGCAGTGCTGTATAATGGTTGAACTAACAGACAAGTATTTGTATCCAGATGAGTTTTAAGAAATACCCTATTAATGCCTAGTAAGAGTATGTGTTGGTTATTTGGTGATTGTAAATTGGGGAATTACAGAAGCTTTCAATAAGGAATTTACCAGTTAATGGAAAAGTGTCACCAGTTGTCTTACAGTCTTATATAGGGCTTTGGCTTGATTAAAGAATTGTTAGTTTGCTTTTTTAGTAAAGCTTTGTAGGGTGTAAAAACTCCACCATTGGTAGACGTTCTACAATTTAAAGTTGACTCGTCCTGATAGGTACAACAAGTGATAAAGGCGAAATTCATCTGTATGTTGTGATAGCAAATGGATAGAGTATTCAATACATGCAAGGAATGTGGTCCCTTATTTTTCACCTGTCATTACAGGAACACTCCAAGTACCATAACCACCACAGTGCGCTGAATTGTAAGTAGTCAAACTGTTTGCAAACAGACTGACAACTTACCTTACCTTAAGATAACATACTAGATGAGCAACAAATAATCTTCAGTGTAAATATATCTATAAAATATATACACAATTAGGTTATTTAATACATACCTAAAGGTAAAATTGGCAATACCATAAATAAAGTATGGCTGGGTGGCTTCAAATGTAATGAAATTGCTATATGTATATGAAATTTTGGGAGAAATACCTAGTCATGAACTTGGTGTTTTTTTTTTTATAGTTTGGTGTGTGTGTGTGTGTGTCTACTAATAAATCTCCTGGTTTAAATAAACACACATGACAACTTATGTTTCTGAGTATAATATACACATTCAATATGAGTGCTTTCAGAACACGTCTTGTTTTAAAAATTTTTTATTGCTCTAGCAACTCACCTGACCCTACCATAATCTCAGTTTTTAATTCCTAGCTAAATGGTTTTAATCCTAAACCTCCTGCTTTACAGCTATTCTTGAGATGCCTAATGAGGCGAAGATTGCACATTAATTTTATTTATTTTTATCTTTAAATAATTATTAATTATATTGTAGATGTTTTAAGGGAGGTGGTATCTAAAAAAAAAAAAGTTTGTAGAAACGTATATGTTAAAATGTGATTGCTTCTTATTCTGACCTGTTAAGAGTATGGTGAGATATACAGACATTGCCAATATAGTACATATAAATATCGTAAAAACCAAAACTATAAATTAGAGATTTAATTTTTTTTTAAATGGATCGTTTATCTGTAGATAGAATACAAACTGATCAACTGCATAAATTCATGTTACAAATGGTAAAACAATGTACACATTAAGAATATCACACTCATTTGTTGCTATGATTTGTAGCACATAAATCTTTGGAGAGTTATTTTTGTAAAATTGTGTAAAATACTTTCAAATATTGCATAACTGTTTTCTTATTATTGTAGTTTTAAAGGTATTGCACTTTAAGTAGTTATGCGTGACTCTTTCGAAATTATATTTAAAAAAATGCACATGTGGTCAGTTGTTCTGGAATCTTACTAATTCTGTCATTAAAAATGGCTTGAAATAAAATGAATTTATAATATAATAGCTGCGCAATTGTTTTTTTTTTTCATTGAGATATATATATATATATATATATTTATTATTAATATACAGTAATGAAGCATATAACAATTAATTCTAAATAAATGGCTGTAGAGTATGGTTTAAGATTAGCATGCCGTCCTCTGTAAAGCAGATTCTGTTTCACAAAACCCAGTGAAAATGTATTTGTACGTTTTTCCAGGGAGGGCCAACCACACACATATGGGCAATTTGGAGCATTCATACTAAAGGGGCACTATAACCAGTACAGCTTAAAATTGCATAGCACCTTTACTTGGACACTCTATTAAATTCTGTTAAATGTACTAAAATATGGAACAAATGTTTTTGTTTTTTTTCTTCTGTAAGGTGTGTTAGGTGTTTGTAGCCAATAACGTATCTTTCAACTTAACACCAAGCTAGAGCACTCTCAGTGAGTTAACGAATGCATCCGACATGGTGGTACTTCTTATGATCGGAAATAAAAACTTTGTAGCCTAACAACAGCAGCACATCTATAACACTCCCATATATGGGTATATTGACACCCACATACTCTGAGTAATAAACATGCCCAACAAACATTCAGAGATATGCATTCCTAGATGAGCATAAATAGGCATAGCGAGATGCACACAGAAACCTACGCCACACCTCATGGAAACTACCACACACACCAAAATATATATTGTATGTTTCAGCCATCCCCCTGTTTCCCTATTCGTCAGAGAAGTGCAGCTTCCCAGTGATCTAGTGAGAGCGGGCTGCTTAGAGAATTATTAGGCCAGCTCTTGTCCTAGTGATTCCTTACACGTGCAAGAAGAGTGGACAGTGCTGTCAGGGGGGGCTTGCTCTATGAGAGATCTGCAAAGCTGTCCACTTGGGGAGATAGATATATCCTAGTTCACGTTAAATTTATTCATGCTACCGATCATCTTAAAATAGAGAAGGAAAACAATATGTACTTTCCAAACATGCAATTATTTCTCTCGAGTTCTATTTCACTCCAGTCCATAAACCCAAATCATTCCTCATCCCCGTCAAATATTTATTCCATAACATTCCATTCACTTTCCTCAGTATCAATGTTTTCATGCTTCTACTGCTGATAACGTTCCTACATTCCATGAAACTTTAATATCAATAGAGAATTTTAACTGTCTTCAAACAAAGCAATCGTGGATTGTTTGTACCCTAAATAATAAAGGGTAGAGGCGTATAACATCCCCCCCATTTGTTTGCATACTGTATGCTTAGGCTATGGGAAAATACAGCAAAGTAGATAAATATGCACTCCCACCTTCACAAAGGTTGATTGTGGTTCTGTAATGCCAGGCTTGTAAAGGAATACCATTTGATTCCCTCCACCAAACCCATTACATGATTTCTGGAAAAAAAATAAAAGGTATGCATTGAAGCAGCTGAAAGTCTGTACATTTTGACAATAAACCTGATTTTCAATGGGGTTGAATAATTTTAAACTGTAACTGTAATTTACAACTGTAAATCATGGAGTAAGGTTTCTTCTTATTTGGGATATTTTGGGATGTATGAAAAAATAAATAGCATATGATAAATCAAGTGGATTTATTCTATGCCTAACTTCACATGAAAGGAAAATAATATAGGGTTGATTAAATTACAGCTATGGATTCATGATAAAGAAGGAGGGATAAGTATTTATTGAAAATTGCACACTTCCTTGGTCTAGCAAAAACCTGTCCAGATTGTGAAAGAGCATTCACTGGTGTGTGGGAAGAATGTATTCAGAATGATTGAGGAATGACTGCAGATTGCACAGTTACAAAAACCACATTAGTGATTAAAATATTATCATAACATGTATTTAAAGCAAGAGATGTATAGCTTGGAAAAACTTATTATAGCACAGCAATTTTGTGTACAGATTGGTGTGCAGACAAACCTAAAAATTTAAATTATGTCAAATTTCCCCAATTAAAATTTTTCACTTATTTGTTATGAAAATATTTGAAAAATTAAAAGCTTTACACAGCATACAGTGTCTTTTATTTTGCAATATTTAACCCAGGGTCTGAAATGCTAGTATAAAAGTAAAAATGCTTTTTTTATTTTTTTTTTTAAAGTGTGACAAAAATAGATAAATAGAAATGGTCAATATCATGCTGATAGGTATTTGCAAAGTTACCAACATTTGAAAAATGTCGCCATTTCAAGGAAGGAGCTGCACCTCAGTTGAAAAGCAGACACTACCCCATCGCCGCCTTTAGCAACCACCCCACAGCCCGAAAGGCAGGAGTGGCGATACTTCTGAATGCGAAGCTCCAATTCCAAGAACTAGATAGACTAATAGACCCCCAGGGCCGCTACCTCTTCCTGAAAGGAGAAGTCCAGAACCGCAGATATACCTTCGCAACACTCCATGAACCCAACCAAAATCAAGCCCAACAAGTCCGCAAAGACCCTCTCCAAGCTCTCCTCGTTCACGGAAGGAACGCTTATTGTGGGGGGCGACTTCAACGTCCCCCTACATCCACCCATGGACTCCTCTACAGGCCACATCAGTATCCCACAAGGGGTGATACGGAGCATCCACAAAGCTCTCGGAAGCCTAAGACTGGTGGACTGCTGGAGGGCAACACACCCCGAAGATAGCGAATACACACAATACTCAGCCCTTCACAAACGCTACGCTAGAATAGACTACCTATTCCTGCAACAAGAACAAATCCAGACGCTGCAGTCAGCGGAGGTTGGGACTTCCCTGTGGTTAGATCATGGCCCGGTCACCTTTTGGACCCGCAGACATGAGAACAGGTGTCGGAAGCACTAACCATGTACTTCAACTTAAACACGACAGGCGAAGTCACGGCAACCACCATATGGGAAGCGCATAAGAGTGTTATCCAAGGCACACTGATGTGACTAACTTCCAAAAAAAAGAGGGAATCCTGACAACAGATGTCTGACCTAATAGAAAAAATAACAACACTTAAATCACAGCACAAATGATCCCAATTCGAATCGACCTACGCTGCTCTACTGGAAGCTCGCAGACTTCTATGGGACCACATCACCTGCTGCCACTACCGAACCATACAACTGTCAAAAGACTTTTTTTTTTACCAACACGCTAACAAGGGAGGTAAACTCCTAGTGAGAGTGCTGAAAAGGGCCCCAAACATTACCCCAAGTTCATAAGCTGCGGACCGCCGATGGTACGGTTACCCAATTCCCGGACAAGATCACCATGGAATTCCTAGACTTCTACTCAACCCTATACAATACTGCACGTCCCATCTAACGAACGGAAGCCTGGGATAAACAACGTAGGACACAGGAGCGAAATTCATCACCAAAAGGCTCCAACCAGATGAGAAGGAACCACTTGAAGCCCCGATAAGCCGAGGTAGCTGGAGCAATCAAAGCGGCTAAGACGGGACGCGCGCCCGGACCAGATGGCTTCACCCTGGAATACTATAAAAAATTCAAGTGCACCCTCCTCCCGAAATTCACCCAAGCCTTTAACGCCCTTACAGAGGAAGCTTAGTTCCACCAGGAATCTTTGGTGGCCACCATCACTGTCCTCCCAAAGCCAGAGAAAGACCCTGAACTCTGCAGCAGCTACAGACCAATCTCCCTCCTTAATGTGGACGTGAAACTCAGATACTGTCCAATGGAATAGGCTCCCTACTACCGAAACTTATCCATCCGGATCAAACAGGTTTTATACCTGGGAGGGAAACCAGAGATAGCACCCTAAGAGCCCTATCGATCCAACACCTAACTAAGCAATTCAAAGATTGGACCCTCCTCTTATACACTGACGCCGAAAAAGCATTCAACCGTGTGAACTGGTCTTTTCTCATGAACACACTTCGAGAGATAGGTCTCGGTGCAAACATGCTGAAATGGATCACAGCATTATGCAACAACCCGAATGCTAAGGTGCGCGTGAACGGCGCGTGAACGGGTTCCTTCACGATAAGGAACGGTACAAGGCAGGGCTGCCCACTCTCACCCATGCTTTTTGCGCTCTCCCTCAAGCCCTTCCTGGAAGTGGTCCGACAGACAGAGGAAATCCACAGCTTCAAATGGAAGTCCTCAACACATAAAGTCACCGCATATGCGGATGACCTCCTGTTTTTCATCACCCGCCCGGAAGACACCCTCACCCGGTTGATGGAACTGTTCGAGACCTACGGTGAATTGTCAGACTTTAAACTGAATGCAACGAAATATGAAATACTCAATACTCGATGCCCTGAAACATCAGTTCCCCTTTCGGTGGTGCCCTTGCCGCATGGCCCAAGGACATGGCCACATTATACCAGGCGAATTACCTGCCCCTCCTCCAGCGCATCCAGCAAGACCTGACAAAATGGTCGTACCCCTAGATATCTTGGTTTGGCAGAATAGCAATATTAAAGATGAATGTATTACCCAGAATACTCTACCTATATCAAATGGAACCCCTAGGCCTACCAACAGCATTCTTCTCATCTTTACGCACTGCCATGAACCAATTCATATGGAACGGGAACCAGGCACGCCTCCGCCACGACCTACTATGCCTACCGAGGTAGTGGGGAGGCTTGGCACTCCCAGACCTACACAAATACCACCAGGCATCCGCCCTACAGAGTATACTAGATTGGCACACCCACCAGAGACATACATAGTGGGTTACCCTAAAAAAGGGCCACTTATACCCATCTCTAACCCCGACCGTATGAAACACGGGACGTTCGACACCAAACACCTTGGATCCTGGTTCTACAGTAGCTCACACGCTATAAATATGGGACGGTGTCAGGG